GACTATAATATAGGTGGATTGAATATTATGTGAATCCTAATTTTAAAACTTAGTAGAGATTTGAGAATATTGAGAGATTTTGAATAAAATGAAAATAATTGAAGAAAGCTAGATAAGTGGTTCTTAGTAAGGAAAAGATATTGAAAACGTGAGAAGGTGATATTAGGTTTTGATTTGGTTGTAATGATATTAAGAACATATTTTGTTATGTGTTTGTTTAAAACATTCTGCTGACAAATGTTAAGGATTAATGCCCTTGGCTAGCGAAAGAAAATACAATATTATAAGATAATTCAAGAATATCTAGTCATCATCAAGAAGTTGAGCTAAAAATTTGGAAAAATCTCATTTTAAAATCTAATTGAATGTTGTTGTTTTTTTATTTTTTTGGTGAAAACTTATTTTTCCGTGAAAACAAACTTGTTTTACAGAATATTTTTACAAGAGTATTATTTCCTTCTGATTTTTTTTTATTTCATGTGGAATTTTTCATCAAATATGAAAATCAACAACCCCTAACTGCTGGCTTTCACAATACTCATCATTTGCAGTGAATGCTTAGGCCAGTTAGATTTCTATAGAATGATAAGTTTTCATTTTGATATAATACGGCGCCAAAACATAGTGACACAAGGAACTCTGAATGTTGGATAGGAAAGATCGTACTTTGCAACAAAATGAATATTATAGAAAGATCGCGTCCTGATATTAACACATTATTATGAAGCCCTCTGGCATAAACAAAAAACGCGTTTTATAAAATCAAAAAATCATTTTATAGAATGACGCATTACTGCAGTGGATCCCTATAGAAACCAATATCTCATGTTTCACCAAAGGTGGAAAACTAGCGTTTTGAAACTGAACCCCTATATTTCCTGTCCATTCTTATCTGTCCATAGCCGGAGTCGATGCACGGAGTATGAGCAAGTCAGGTTTACGTTTAACAAGAAATCTAAGAACGTCGTATTTTTCTAGCCTAGAGTTGAGTTTCTAAACTCTTCGCAATAACTACAATAATTTCTTTTCAATTGTTTTACTTCGAACAATGATTCTAAAACGTAGAGCAACTGCATTTCTTAAATTTGTTTTTTAATTTGCCGTGCCACACGCTGGTCACCACGATCACTGCGCATTGTTGACCATGACATTACTTTTGATATTTCATTGTTAATTTTCTGTTGCGTTTTGTATAGTTATCAACGTCATTAGACCTCTATAAAGCAAGCAACTAATACAATTGACGTTTTTAAACTGAGGCGTGATCCGATAACACAAATAACGAACTCAGTTCGTCTACGGATGGCAGAGTAGCCCTGAGGAAGACCACGATAAAATGGTCGAAACGTCGGCAACACAACCTTCGAGGCGACGTCATCCCCACAGCCAAGATCATTCACGCAACTTGCTGAATGACACTACACAAGGCAGATTATAAATCCTGAAGACATCGGATTCACTTTTCTTAAGTAGGTTACGTAATGTAGTATACTCGTATACTTTTTGTCAATCGGTTTTGTTGTAATCTATTAAGATGGCCAAAGAATTCCATTCGCCTTTTCCTAATGTCAATTTCAATGCTTGATAACCTTTCTACTGTTTTGGCTGATTGTAGTGTTTAACAGTGGCGGCTGGTGCCACTGAAGGTTGCACTTTCATCGAATGACGGACATGTCATTTCAAAAATTCAAAATACGAATATATTAATGGGCGAAAACCAGAACGATATAAGTGACATTATATACATTCTTAGAAATGTGATTATTGAAGTCAATACTACTGTAAAGTCTTGCTGCTTTGTTTCATCATTAAAACCATAGCATTTCAATTGTTCATTAAAACCAATAAAAAAAATTTCTACTGAAATATACACTTTTCTCAGAATTTATAAAATGACACTTATAACGAGCTTCTTTTCACCCATTCGTATTATAACAATGTAAACAATTCAAATTAATTAAAACTTAGTAAATTCAAAGTCTACATTGAAACATTGTATGTATGTATGTGCTTGGCGCGACTGCCCGTGAACGGACTCAGGCCTACCGGCGACGTCCCTGCCTCGCGGCCATGGGTTAATGGGGTACGTGTGGTTGGCACGTAGCCATCCCCACGCTGTATTTCGGTCTTCTCAACCTGATTACTTACATAATTTTATGCGTCGTGTCCGTGTCAGGTATATTTTACATCTACCGCGCACGTGGTTCTGGCTTTGATTTCCACTAAACACGTAAGTTCGACTCCAGAACATTACAAGCACTATTGCTTCGACACGTTTCACACAAATACAATTATTTTATTTCGAAAACTTCACTATACTGGTTATATGGCAATAATGGAAGAGCTTCGACACACATATTCATAAGAACGCTCACAAACTGCTGGGCGGCAAGCTGTAGTCACACTGGCTTCGCGAGACACAAACGGACTTCCATCCAGAGCAGCAACCTTTACACAAAGATTTCATCAAATGTACGTTTTAAATCAACAAACCTAATATCAAATGAAAACAAATTCTCCAAATATCATAAACAATGCACTGAATATCGTCAATAATTGACTGAACTTGTGTACTTTCAATAACAAGCGAAATTCATAAAATTACGTTGCAGCGAGTCAGACGAAGATAAAATATTGGGATTCCCCTGAAACTCCTTCCGTCGACGCGGAGCGCTAGACAGCGCCACCAGCTGGTTGGGCAACTAAAACCGGCATCCTCCCCGTGTTAAATCGCAGGGCTAAAGAGTAAATGCAGTAATACAGCCAAAAGCCGAGAGCGTGGTGCAATACCTGGCAAGGCACCAGACACCAGAGAGAGTGCCAGTAGGACGATTTTTGGTTTCAAACATTCACCAGTTGTGTTAAATGCGCTCAGTGAACCACGTGTTCCAATACATTCTACAGTATTGTAATTTATTGTGTTGAATTAATGTTAACATCCTAAGGCTGACTGCTGACTGCTGACGGCAACATACGAAGGCTGTCTGCTGTTCGTCCGAGCTATTTCAACAGTCCACGTGCCTCCTCAGTCAGCCTCCAACAGAGATAATAGAAAATCTGGAATACATGTTCACCCGCATACATAATTTCTGACTCGTCCTAAACAATTGAAATTGTATATGGCTCAATTTTTTGTGTGTGGCTCAATTTGTTGTATGCGGCTCAATTTTTTTCTTCTTTTTTCCGAGAATCTTGAGGCCACGCGATCCCACGGGGGCTCAGATTTAATTATCGGTACAGGTGTACGTTACTTTTTCTATATTAGCATCAGCATTTTGGAAAAGCATCAGCATTTTAACGCTGATTGCATTTTTATACCCCAGGGTTGTTAGCCTTGGGGAAGGGATGAAATTATGAAGATGATGAATGATGAAATAGACATACACATAGCAAAGAGACGGGACTCGAACCCGCGATTTTCTGGTCCGAGACCACTACGGCCTTAGCGAACTCAGCCATCGGATCTGTTGTTGTTGTTATTATTAATAATATATTATTATTACCATTATTATTATTTTCCCACTGCAGCAAAAATTGTGCACAAAAGAGAGTGAATGCAAAGGCTTTAGGATGTTTAGGAATGAGGTTATAAAAGTATAAAATAATAAAGCATAATTAAATCAAATTTTGGCTGAAGTCTTGTATACGGCACAACGTACGGAAGTCTTTTAAACCGTCGCGCCGCTCCGACGGCAACTGCGTAGATTGAAGTCTGGAGGCTTTCTTGGAAAAGGCTTTTTTTATAATAGTGAATTGGTAATTATGCGGTGGATAGACTCAAGGATGTTTATAGTCAACGCGAATGCCGAAGGGCCGATCCTCTCCGTGACTTGGATCCGGGCGAGCGAAGCGAGAAAACTTACCATTGAAAGTAAATTACTGGCATTACAATGCGGCGGGGACAAAGCGTATGAAGGATGAGCCATGAACATCGCTTATACTCAAGTTTTATTCATTTCAATCCGAGCGCGAAGCGTAATTTGAGGGAGGGCTTAAGGAGTAAGGAGACCCCTTCCCCCCGTCGCCACGCTTCTCTGAGGATATACCGTGTACTATGTACTTTAATCCAAATTTTAAAAAGTGATTTTGGACTCCTGAATTATTTTATCAAGTGATCATTAGAGAAAATGCATTTTCTTTCGTGACTGAACCATGGGAGTTAATCTATGCTGTACTGTAGATAACCGGGGTAAAACTATGGCTGTATTTTTTTTTTAGTACTTCCTCCGTGGAATAAATTCGCTTTCAATTTGAGCGCCTTTCATGATGCACGGAAATCGAACAAATGATATCGAACTGAAAGTCGATAGTTATGCATTCGTCGATTAATTGGAACTGATCGATTTAAGTGGACAAGCAGAAAACGTGGGTTGTTGTGGGTTGATTTGAATTCGCGTGAATTAATGAAAATAGTTCTCAATAATTAAGATTTTATAATAATTTTAGATAAGTCGATCCGTTCGTCTTTGACCACTGAAGTAAAGTTAGTAAAAAAATATCTGAGATTAATTTACCAATTTCAGTGAAGTTTTAGTGAATCCAAAGGAGTGGATGATTCAGTGATTTTGCAATTATTGAAGACAGAAACTATGTTTTAAAGTCAGTGTAACTTTAAGTGTGAAAGTACTGACTTGTGTTGATATTTCCCTTTATTAACTGTGTCAGATGTTGAAGGGTAATTAAATTTTTTTTAAAAACTCAACTAATATAGTGAAAGTGTCAAAACTATGAATACGGAAAATTGCATATCAACTGAAAGTGAGCAAGAAATAAGGACTTTTCTGAGGGAGAGATTTTTACGAGCAATGGCTGGAATTGTAGGCAAGTATTATAGTTTTGTGGGAAGAAAGATTCATTTGAGTGCGGATAAAGGTTTAACCTGTTCTTTAAAATTAGATTGTATAATTTTAAAATATGAATTATTTTGTTGAAGAAAAAATTATAATAGTAAACAGTTCATTGAATTTACTAGAAGTATTTACGAGTTCATGCTTTTACAGGTCAAGAATGTCAAGTTCATATGTTTGACAACACTGATGTGTCGGGTATCTTTCGTGGTGTAGATGTAGATCTTAGTTCTTTCCTTATGTCACAATTGAAGACACCAATTGGAATTGTACCAGAAGGAATACTTCGAGCAAGTGACACAATTTGGTTGCATTTTCCTGACATTACATCATTACAAAAATGTCATGAAGAAAATACGTCTGCAGAAGATGTAGATAAGGAAACATAGGTGTGTACAAATTTTATTTTACATGTTTTTGAGAGAAAAATTTCAGGAGTTTTTGAAGTATCAGGTTCTGTTGTCTTGGAAAGTGTAATGAAATGTAATGCATAAATGGTTATTGTTCTATAATATTTATTGTAACAAAATTGCTTAAAGTAAAGTGAATTTTTAATATTTGCATTAATGCAATGCTTTTAACATAATGTGTAGCCAAATAACTTGGCCAGAGTTTATTTGCTTTATCTTTTCTTGGTTCGTCAATTCTGATGTTTGAATGTTCTTGAAAAAGTAAATGAATTAATAATTTTCCCATTATACTTAAAAGTCTCATAACAACATCCTAAAACTTTTGGCTGTTTTCGGTGGTTTAGGGAAAAATCTGACAGTAAAAACACCCTACCATTTAAGATCCATTGCAAAAATATTATAACCAACATGGAAAAGAATAGTTTTATTTAGTTTATTCAGTGTCTGACTTACTGCCAATCTGTTTTTAAATGGATGTGAAGTTTTTTCATTGGGGGTTTTCAAGGATCCAAGCTACAATATGTGAGGGATGGCCATTTTTACAAATCATTGATACAGGGAGTTTTTTTGTGATTCAATTACCGTAAACTAAGGCTACTTTGACATTTTTTCTTCTTCTTTCAACAGATTTGTTAACTTGTAATATACAAAAGTTGTTCGAAACTTATTTCAAACCATTAGACGTGGTCTCTAATTTCACAATTTGTGGAAAAATGGCAAATCAAGTACACTTTTGCTAAAAATATAAGAAAGACCATAGACAAAGTTGCCCTGGATGTGAGGCAACTTTGCCAAGTATGTTAAAACCAAGTGAAAAATCACAAGGAAAGAATATTTTAAATAACACCTTACCCATTAGCATTCACTAAGGTGAGGAAAACATGATTTTTCAAATTTCAATTGAGTTTTTTAAATTTTAATTGGATGCTTTTTTGTAGTAGAATTTTTATTATTAAAATACTTTTTCTTTGTAAAAATGTATTAACTAAAATATGTATAGACACACTATGTGTGCATGAATAATTAGCAACAATTTTTATTATTGAAAATAAATTATAAAAATAGCATAATGTTAATTTTTTTAATTAACTTGTAATCATAAACATAGGCATTTATGAGAAATTATTTTGATGTTATAAGAATTTCAGTATCTAATTTATAAATATTTTTGTATATTTTCAGTAAGATTTAACAGTTTATAGTTAATAATGTAATCAAAATTATGAAAAAAAAAGATTTAATATACATAAAAGTTAATCCCCAAGGTACGATAATTACCAATTTTTTGTAGTAATTTGCGAAAAATAATGAAATTCTAGGTTGGTAAAGTATCTCATTTTCACCAAGTCTTCTGGTGCAACATTGCCCATAACAAATTAAGTCTAAATGCAAAATAAAATTAACCTCAAATAGTGAATCTGAAACGGAATTATATGCTGCATTATACAACATAAAGGTTTTTATTTCAGTGTTACTGAATGGGCAGGACAAGACACTTCTGTAGACTACCAGTTTGGTTCTTCAAGTAGAAAACAAAAACTGAAAAAGACCTGCAAGCAAGTGATTAGGCTGAAAATTTGAGAGAAGCTTGTTCTACAATGTCCTCTCAGTGCTATGAAGCCAGTGATGTCTCTATTTGTTAGATCAAGGAACATGGCTGAGTGACAAACAACATAATTTTCAAAAACTGGCAAACCCAATAACTCCTACAATCCAGTGGTTTTCATCATAACTCTTTTATTTCATGTTACAAAATATTTATGAATTATTACTTTGATTAGTAGGTACAAAGTAACATCGACACAATTTTTATTTTCTTCCATTTTATCGTCATATAATGTTACACATAAAATAAGAAATTTTAACAAGAGTATACTTGTTTCTAATTTTTCAGATGAATTACAGTTTAGTCACTTAACTATCAAGTTTTAATTTTAGTATCTCATGTATGAATCTTCTGTCTTCTGTTATTATTAAATGTTATGAAGAGGCTATGAGTTAAGAGTTATTAGAGGTATAACTACCATTATTAATATAAAAATAGATATTCTTATAAACATAATAACAGACTCTAAGTTGTTGTTTTTTATTTTCTTTATTTTTAGTATTAAAAAATGTGTTAAAAATTGAAATGCTAATAAAATACTATATTTTTATATAAATTATATCAGACATTTTTTATTTGATTATATAGTTGAAAGCTAATATTGTGAAACTAAGTTTGATCAATTAAACTTGAAATTTCCAGAAGATTGAAAAGAGTTTTAGATAGAAGTTTTCTGATTATTTTCCAGTTGCATTTGGTGCACGTGCTTGAGCTACCTCACATTTAGAATGAAAAGATGTGCTCAAAAGATTTTTTTATAAAAAAAAAAATACTTGTAGAATGCAAAAATATTTTTAAAATACCACATTTTGTGAATAGACTTCCTTAAAACCTTATAAATGAGATTTATGAAAGAACTACTTGATATGCTGAACATTAATTTTGGGAACTGAAGGACACAACAGTTTATGGTTTGATTACTTTGCAACTTTATAAAAATGTATATAAAAATCTTTTGGAAAATGATTCATGAAGTATAAATAAAATAAAGGATAAATAATGAGTTAAAATAATATACATTGATTTTGCAATACATTTTGTAACTAAATTACAATTGCTCCCAAAAGATATCGTTTATGATCTTAATTTTGTTGTGAGGAGGAGAAGTTCTTAATAAACCCCACTTATCATGAGTTTTTCATAGTAATAGTGCTTGGATGGCGTGCACATTTTTATTGCTCTCAGAATTGTAGGTGGTCACAATGATAAATGGTATCATTGTATTTCTTGCATGAAGAGAAAAGGGAATTTAGTAATGTATTTTTTAAAGATTCCTTGAATTATTCACAATCTAATATTTGCTTTACGTTTTAAGTTTTTTCAGAGATATTATACATGAAGTATCTTGATTTAATTGCATACTTTATATCATTTTTGTGCAGTTAGTGACATTGAAATTCTCTGAAATACTACAAGTACAAATACTGAAGTTCAAATAAATTTGTAGCCCTATTTTACTGGTTCATTGGTGATGTGTTGTTGACATCCCAAATATGAGAATATAAGACATCTTGGCCAACATTAATATTTATTATAGGGGCAGCTTTTGACAGCTTATCATCAACAGTTATCTGGTACAAAACATTTCAAAAATTCAGTAATGGACTAAATAATGGATACTAATTGAAAGTTTGGGTAGTTATATAATTTAAATTTAAAGTAGGAAAAATGAATTTTATACAATAAATTAAAGAAAAGGGACAGAGTGACAAATTAATCTTATACTGCAGGTAATAATTTAGTTAACCTATGCAAGAATTATATAAAAAATTAAAACATATAAAACTTGTGTTGAATCAACAAGAATTTGAAGTTGAGTTGTTTCTCACCTGCTGTTTGAAAGTCATATAATTACTGCTTCTACTAGTAGATGGGTTTCTGGTGGCAAAACATCATGGCTTTTAAAGAGTTGTGAGATCGAATGAAATTGTTTGTATGGAAATAAATGTTTCTGCAGACCTTAGAAAATTTAAAAGCTATTTTCCTGCCAGATATTACATTTTCAGGGGAACTTTAAAATCCTTATTATTTGCTTTTGATACACCAAATTGTTCTTTCTCTGCCAGAATGTTGAGGGCTTCTGGAAAATATGCCTCATGTTTCTTCTCAATTGTAAATTCTCAAGATAACTTTGTCACAGACTCATATTTTGGTAATATTTGGTTTTACTGTTTCTGGGCACATCATGAGCTGCTATATGTTCATCCACTACTCCTTTCATCATTAGTTGCTGGCCATCCATTGCTTCATCATTTGCATCAATCAATATCTACGTTCACATACCGGCCAGATCTCTTCCAGGTGCTCTACTACATCTCTGGTTGCTCAATATTTATGAGCATTTTAGCTGCATATGAGTTGCATTCCAGCGTAAATATTTTAAAAATTCAATGTAGTAAAGATCCTAGCAGTAATTTGGGGATAGATTTTAATGCAGTATTTTAAAGTACAGGAACCTCGAAGAAGCATGTTGCTCCAAATGACTTTACGTTTCTTTCAACAGGTATGTTACTCAAAAACTGAAAAATGTTTCTGGCAGAAGAAAACAATCTTCTGAAAAAACTGTCGTATGAATGTTATCTAGCTCATCCTTTTGCAGCCTTGTGTCATTATTACAGCACAAATATGGAATTAGAAATCTAAATCTTGGAAGTGACATTGAAGCTTGAAAAAGTCATTGTCGATGCTGTTAAGTCCTCAAGTTCAACCTACAGGCTTACTGCAATCCTGCTGTGTATAATAGACCTAATACTTCACAGACCTCAGTTTCATGTATTGGTCCTGCTAAACACCCTTGCATAGTTGTGTTGCACAGCATGAATTTTTTTGAAATTTTGTATTTTAGTTTTGTTTATATTTAAAATTATGAGTAAATCGAAACAGTTTTGTTGGGTTTTAAGTTTTTATAGCTTGTCTCTTAACCTCAGAAAGTTAATAACTATATTACGACCTTACCTTTATAAATCAATGGTGAGGTTGTGATTCATATTTTAGTCTTTGGAAATTCCTCCTGGGCTTATGATGCATTATCCCATACATGTTCTTCAGAAAAGCTTAGTTCTTATTCTAATACTAAATGCTGTTCAGTATTACCTCTGTCAATAAGCACCCTAACCACATCACCTTCACTAACATTGGAATTCATTTTAAAGAACTGTAACTCAAGTGGTAACCAGAGGTCTTGCACACTTAAGTTTATTTGTTTGCTTTTTGTTACTACTACAATTTAACTGAAGGAATTTCGATAATTGTATTGCAACTTATTATCCTTTCTAGTACGTTACTGCAAATCAGTTAATTTTATCCTACCATCTATGGTATAGGTAGGACCTTAATTTTAAAAAATTCTCATGCGGTGTATCACTCTCACCCTCACATCACTAATAGTATGATAAAACCTGTTTTTTATACTATTATTCATTTTCTCCAAAAATACACATATTATTGAAGTTTTCAAAGTTTTACAGTAGTGTTGCCTTATTTTTCTAACCTAATAAAAACTGTATGTTCTGTTAGGAGGTCATCAAATTTTGTATTAAAAAACTAATACTAATTGAAATTTACTAATTGCCAATGACCCATCTTGATCAGGATTTTTGTTCAGTTTCCCTGATCCCTTGAGCAAATACTGAGATGGCCCCTTGTTTCGCTTCTGGTCAGTAATGTAACTTTGCGCTCTCCAACCAAAACATCCTATTGGCTCGTCATACATGATTGTAATTGTATATGTGCACAATAAATATTATTATTATTATTATTATTATTAATAATTACAAAAAAGTCAAAACTGGAGGATGCAGCTTTTATTTCACAGCCTGTAATGTAACATTCTCAAGTTAATTTTATCACATACATGATTCATTGAAATGTAGATGACATTTATTGACACAGTGTTTTGTAATTGCATAATAATAGTATTTATGGAATTGGAAAGTGTGTTTTAATGAAATTTATCAGTCCATTAGTTGAAGGATCATGAGATGTAATTTCTTCTCTTGGGTCTTCTAAATCTGGTTCAATTTTCTTGGCAAGTTCCTTACCAAGTTCAACACCCATCTGGTCAAAAGAGTTTATATCCCATATGCATCCCATAACAAATATTTTATGTTCATATAATGCTATGAGTGCTCCCAAAGTAAATGGAGTTATTTTTCGTACTACTATAGAGTTTGAAGGGCGATTACCCTCAAAAATTTTATGTGGTACTATCTGTACCATTTTTTCACCTGTTAATCCTGAGCACTGAAGGTCTTTCTGGGCTTCCATACAAGTTTTTCCTTTCATTAGAGCTTCAGATTGTGCCACAAAATTAGCTAATAGTAATTTGTGGTGTTTGTTGTCTTCAATTGGATTATGTGATATGGCAGGAATAATGAAATCAACTGGTATAAGGTGAGTCCCCTGGTGCAATAGTTGAAAGAATGCATGTTGTCCATTGGTACCTGGTTCTCCCCAAGCCACTGGACCTGTTGTGTATGTCACATTACCACTGCATCGAGTCACATATTTTCCATTTGATTCCATGTCGGCCTGTTGGAGATATGCTGGGAAACGATGCAAGTACTGATCATATGGGATAATAGCATATGTTTCAGCTCCATAGAAATTATGATACCAGAAAGCTATTAATGCCAGAATTATTGGCACATTTCTTTCCAGTGGAGTAGTTCGAAAATGATCGTCCATGAAGAATGCACCTTCCAGTAAGTGTTCAAAATTATCAAAGCCTATTGCCAGTGCAATTGCAAGACCAATAGCTGACCATAATGAGTATCGTCCTCCAACCCAGTCCCAGAAGACAAACATATTTTTTAAATCTATTCCAAATGAACAGACTTTGGGACTGTTTGTAGAAACAGCAACAAAATGTTTTGCTACCCCCTCTTCATTCCCTGATTTCTCAATAAACCATTTTTTTGCAGAATTTGCATTAGTGATAGTTTCTATAGTTGTAAATGTTTTACTGGAAATAATAAATAAAACTGTTGCATGGTTCACTTTCTTTAAAACTTCCACCAAATGAGTACCATCAATATTAGAAACAAAATGCATCTTAAGGCGTGTCTTGAATGGTTTCAGGGCCTCAGTTACCATCACTGGACCCAAATCTGAACCTCCAATTCCAATATTTACAATATCTTCAATTTCTCTTCCAGTGTGTCCTTTCCATTTTCCAGAAATAACCATCTCAGTAAACTCCCTCATTTGATTCAATACATCATGTATTTTGGGCATTACATTTTCACCATCTGTAATGACTGGTGTTGTGGATTGATTTCTTAAGGCTGTGTGCAGAACAGCACGATCTTCAGTGAAATTAACAGGCATTCCCTGAAACATAAACTCTCGGCGGCATCCTACTTTTCGTGCTCTTGCTAGATCAAAGAGAAGATTCATTATATCATCATTCACTCGATTTTTAGAAAAATCAATTAAAATATCTCCATCCTCAGGTGTTTCCAGTATAATGCTGTATTGTTCAAATCGTAGGGGATTAATTTTCATTAGTTGATTGATGTATAGGTGTTCACCATATTGGTCATAGTATTCCTGCAGTTTTATGAATGCTGGTTCATCTGTTAATCGAGGAAGATACATGCAATCTCTCAGAGGTAAATTATCAAATGCCAAAGGACAAGTCATTGGACATACTAAGGGACAACCCACAGGAGGGAATTGTCCCTGATCCATTATGTTCATCATTTTGGTGGTTGGTTACTGAATGCTTGTGGTGATAAACAAAAATTACAAACTTAGCCAGTTATATTACTTGTTTGGCATTGGTCATAAAACTGAGAATTTTGATGTTCCTGGAAATTGACCAAATTACTATAACTATGGTAAAGACAATAATATTTCTTTTCAATAATACACTCATTATTTGATGTCAACAATGGTAAATAATGGGCCTAACAAATGTTGGTAAAAATAAAATGTGAACAGTGAAAATGTGTTTTTTGGTCATCAGGGGACCCCCACAGTGTAATTTTTTTGAAATCTCGAAATAGATTTTCTGCAGCATTTCAAAATATTATCTATATTCTCTCAGATGAATAATACTGTATATTACTATGTATACGAGGAAGTAACTATAGCTCGAAAACTTAGAAATAACCTGGTGTGCGTATACGCGGAAAACGGCGGAGGGAAAGGTTCCCTCTCTTCGCGGCCCAACTTCCCCGCCTGAGGAGCCGCCGCTGTCACTTCGGTCCGGGCGGGCGGGAGCAAGACAGCATTGACGACGTCCCGAACCCTGGGTTGCTGAAGGCTCGTATCTTCGTTTACCCTGCCGCGTTGAACGGCTTTTGGACTTGAGAAATGGCATATCCAGAGAAATGATCTTCCTTCCCTTCTCTACTCGTACATTTGCTACAAATTGCTCTTTGGAATTTTTCTCGGTCGGAAGGGAGTCGGTTTACGTGCGTTTCCTGTTGTATCAAGATGTGGATATCTGATTTGGTGCTGTGCGGCATTTGCGAGTTTTTACATCTCTGTTCCTATGGCTTCAACTTCAACATCCATGAGTATATCAAGCCTACCGGATGAGACCAGGCTCGTGAGATAGTTTGTATCGAGTAACACAGGACTTTGGGGATATGAAAATCAAATACAATATGTTGTGCAAGCGACCAGCGAGGCGACAGGCGTTTCGGAATCAACTCTGAACAAAGTTGTCAAGGTAAGTCAAGAAAGCCAAGTAAGGGGTCGACTGTTGTTCTCTACTCCGAAAGGGAAAACATCAGAAAGCAAGAAAAGAATGAACATGGACTCATCTCGATCAGGTTTTCGTCCAGTTTCCCTGATCCTCGAGCAAATGCTGAGATGGCCCTTGTTTTGCTTCTGTACATAAATGTAACTTCAAATTAACTTGTCCCTAAAGCACGTCACACACAGTTTTTAACTGTTTTTGACATAAATAAATAAGACTCATTCACCGATCCTGCTATCAGAGAGAAAATTAATGTCTTCTATACAGTGAAGAATGTGTCCGACGCGTGATAACTTCTCGTGACTTTAAAGGAGGATGACGTATTTTATTGTTCAAAGGAGTGCTTGTGAACACTAGCAAAAATCGGTTACAAATGGAAGAGGTGTTAATCTTCTCGAAAAATTCTTATTGAGCGCCCATCATTGTGACCTGGCGAATGAAATAGCAGTAGAGAGAACAGTTGTCACCGACAGCGAGAAGTCTTGCATACGTGAGAATGACAGCAGCGTTGCAGTCAAGAGCGTAGCGAGAGAACAAAGTTGCAAGCGCGAATCAGCTATCGTTGCAGGCGATCCTTCAGTTCAACTGAGCTCTTCGGGAGCCGTAGAGAACAACTTCGCCGCACTTCGTGAGATAAGCAACGCTATGATGTTTTTTCTAAGTTTTCGAACTACAGTGGTGTTACGAAAATGGCACAAAATAACACAGACTTTCTCATATAGTAAGTTTCTTGGTCTCTTAAATTGGGGTTAGCTGTGTGGTTTCGCCCATGGTGTAATGGCTTTATGGGTTCGTCCAAGGTTTCATATACCGTGGTTTTGCCCCATGTTCCCAGCTGCTGTCTATCGTCGACCAAAACCCCTACCAGATCTCACGGTCCCTATCGTTTCTCTTATGACATTCCCAGGGAATAGCACCTTTGCGGTCGAATTTCGCGTAGGTCTATCTCGGCAATGAATTTTACATACTTGCCTATAGTACCACATGGCTCCGCCAACAGATTCTTGATAGGCAAAGAGATATTTTCTCTTACTACGTATATTTCTCTGCCCATGCCAGGCATGTAAAAGTCGCGGGCAATGCGGCCAGAGCAACTGTCGCGAGATTTGACAGTAAATGTTGTACAAATAGCTCCTGAGTGGCCGTACATCTCTGAATACCTGGCTCATGAGTCTTTTAGAGAAGTCAGATGACAGTTACTACTTCAAATTTAGCTGTATTAACTCCCATTCTACTAAAGCAAAAACATATTTTAAAAAAGTGATCCATTAAAAGTAAAATATCAATCAAAATTCACCCTGACAATTGAGAGTAAAATTAAACATTTTGAATTGAAAGTATATTGATTTTGTAATCGTGTTTACTAAAGATTGCAATAATTACATTAACTTACGTTCAGGTTAGGGGATTTATCAGAAAAAAGATTCTTCTCTCTTAAATGAGCTGTTCGCCCGTAAGCAAGAATTGTTAACTTATCTTGTTCTTGACTTTACTTTACATTATTGCTACGTACTACAAATATGTTAATGATTAATAATACATTACACAAAACTAAAATAAGGAAAGAATTCGCCATTCAAACATTTCTGCCGATTGGCAAAAATGTTTATTTAAGACAGAATGTAAAAAGAAAATTTTCATGAAATAGTTATAGCTGATGGTGCGATAGACTTTCTTGCACTTTCTTTAGACTACACTAGCTTTTCGGTTTTTCCACCCTCGTCCCAGCTGATACATATTGGCGCCAGCCACTACAAAAGGGAGCTGCGAGTCCCGAACTGCAGAAGAAGAGTTGGGACTAGAGTCAAGAAGTGCATAGCTAGCGCGGTAGTGCGTTTATTAGTGAAGATAACAGTAGTGATAAGGGTGATAGCACGACAATTTGATTCAATTCGGAAACAGAATAAGTTGATTAACGGGAAAACAACAATTCGAATAATTGGGATATAAAATCTATATCTACACCAATATATAAAGACAATGGCGTTGCGTCACAGCACGATAATCTCTTAATGCACTGGACGAATAGCGATTAAACTTGTGCTAGCTTTCTTTGAAGGCCAGTAGTTATACAGGTTATGATTTACAACCATAAACCTTTATATATTCACAAAATAATTACTTTTGTGGACTTTTTTCAACTAGCATTGTATCAAGAGTGCATTAATGTGTAATAATTTGGCTGCACCCCACTACAGGATGACAACTGAGGACTACGATTGAGTCCATCAATTCACAGAATTGCGTATATCTGTAGAATAGCTGAGGACTGTTAAATCTTCCGTCAATTGTTTAATGCGAAATGTTTATATTTAAGAATAATTCTATTTTTCTTCACTATTTATAAAAGTAACTCGGATATGGACTTTAATTGCATCGAGGCGTGAATGTATTAAGTGTACAAGAGAGAAGTATACTTTACTCGTGTAGAAATTTTGGGAAACATTTACTGAATGATCGATGTTTTGATATGTGTAAAAGGGTATGAACTGCAGACATGAATAGTATTGCTTTAGTTGTATAGTTACTTAAGTATCGATTTATCGTTTTTGCGAGGGGGACGAAGTAGGTCGGGATGAGGTTCCGGGGTGAGTGAAGGTGAACTAATTATGAATGATTTTACGTGTTATGTCTGAAACTGACGCAAGAATGGATGCATTTTTGTGCGAAGTGTTTTATTACAGTGGAGAAATCGTACCTTCGGCTGATGAAAGAATAATTATTTAAATGGATGAAAGTTCGGCAAGAAGAAGTAAACCGTGGGAGAAAGGCGATAAAGTTGAAGCTCGGTATCACGGTGCAAGTGACAAATGGAAGTGTGGGAGATCGGCATTCAGTGTGTTAAATTGGTTCCACGATTCCGCATTCGCCGAGCAGCGAGCAACTGCTCGCCTAATCCTGAGCAGCCGATGTGCGCGGCAAATGCCATCTTCCTTAGATATGACCAAAAGAACGACACGCATTGGGTAGGGCGAGCACCGAATGTTCGTCGCTTCACAAATGGCTAGCAACGTGTCCACACTACTCGGGATTCGGCGAGCGGTCGCTCACATCCTTTAATGGAACTAAGAGTGAAGCTCATTATGTTCCATACCTCAGTGCTGTAACAATGGCTGGTATATTTCGTGGATTTTGCCAGAGATTAAGGATAATGGAATTGGTATGGTATTTTGGTGCGTCAGCGTTGTATATTAATTGGCATTTTAACGTAGAATGTTTGTTATAGGTAGTAAATTGATAATTTCGAGATTCTCATTTTTAACTTAAATAGGAAATTAGTGTATTTTTTTAGGTTGGTGCGTTGTTAGACATTACCGTCATTTAGGTTGGATCATTTGCAAAGTTGTGGAATTAAGCAACCACTTTTTGGGTGATACTTTGCTATGGTTTCCCATAACTTATGTGATAGTTTTTGTTTCTTTGAAAGATTGGCAAGGCAAACCTGTGTGTTTATTGATTTTTACCTGAGTTAATTTACATGTACTGTGTTTACGGAAACTCCTTGGAAGTTGAGTTACTCATTGCTGGGAATGAGATTTGTTTCAGCAGGCAATGGCATGTTAATCTATGGTTCCACCACATCCTATCCTGGAATATCAAAGCAAGAAGATGCGTCGAGCACTGGAGTCGCCCATAGAGGAGAGATACAATAGAGATATCTCTACTCTATGGAGTCGCCCCGTGGGGAGCTGCATTCATGTTTGAAGCTGAGGCGTCGTCAGGAACACCCAGAGGTCGAAGCCGCCCTCTGCTCAGAAGGGCAGATACGCCTCCTAGGAAAAATTTGCGCCGAATAGTGTGATGGACACTCTATTCGAGGAGAGAGGGTGTTATTGATGTGATGAGGAGTTTTGAACTAGGCGCAGGTTTACGAGGTCTCCCCTCGCCACACCTGAAAAACAGCCACAATGACGGCAGCTGCGAGGCGAGTTACTGGTATGAGGAGCAGAAGAAGAGTTGGGACTTGAGTCAAGAAACGGATAGCTAGTGCGAACCTTGTAGAGTGACAACGTTATACGTAGTTTGCGCCCCTGGACTTTCTATTAGGAATGCTGTGATTCTGGTTACGACTTGCGATATCTTCAGGTGAACGACTACCGCGTAGTAAACCTGCCGTATTCTAGTGGTTTACTGGCGACAAGTGGCAAAGTTGACTGTACGAGTTTGGATACTGGCAAAATTGTACCTTTGCGGTAACAATAAAACTGTTGTTGATCATATTTATCATTACGTAATATCCAGCATATGCATTTCTGTGTATATATTCTTACCGACTTTAATATAGTTGAATGTACCATTTTATTGAACTCAGAAAAATTGTAATATTAACAAATAAATAAAAAGCAGCCTTCGCTTAACCCTCTTTCTACCATGTCGCCGCCCAACAATGAAATTCTCAGAATAACTTCTCAAATACATATCGCTGCATTGTATGGTACGATAGCAATATCAAATTATCGTAATAAAAGTTAGTACCAAATTATGGTTATCCATTTTTTAAATGTTTCTTCCAGATTCCGTTTAAATCGTATTTTAACCGCAAATGAGAAAACACTTACTTTCTCGCAATATTTGTAACACTTACGTCATATACATTTTTTTTTTCTTCCACGTATGTAGCAAAGAACGGTATAGAAAGTGGCGCTGATCCTATTTTTGGCGCATTCTCTGTACTTTCGTAAATTGAAAAAAAAAATATTCGAAACGCTAAATTCGAATTTCTCGCACTTAATGATTGTAATTTGAGAAGCGCTTAGAGGTAGTAAACGTTCTTCCCGACTTTAATAAAGTTCAATATACCATTTTATTGAACTACAGAACATTGTATCACAATAATAAATAAGACCGCCACATCTTATCTGTCTCACCATGTCGTCGTTCAACAATGAACTTCCAGAATGTCGATCACTGCTTGCGCAATGCATACGGTGGTAATATAAAATTGTCATAAGTAATATCACAGCACTTCGAGTGATATTTAGTGTGACTATTTCACGAATTAACACATTACATGAATAGATTAGAGAAAGTAATTTACTATACATAGGGACAAGATTTATTCACTTTTTCGTTACCACGGCCAGTAATAAGAGTTTTAATCGAAAATTCACCGTCTTTTTCCTGCAGCATTACAATACTTTCTCCAACCTGCGAAAGTAGAAGCGAGAAAGTAAAAATTGCAAACAAAGAATTAACATAATAAAGCTATAATATTAATGATAGAGATTTTTTTAACTTAAAATCTAATCTTTAAAACTAAATTTTGAAATATTATAATTGAAGTTTCTAAATATTTGAAAATGATATGTGCAACTTCTTTTAAAGTGTCAGAAAAGGTGAGTTTCCCTGTGAAGCTAGTGGGTAGGGGGTAATGTGAATGGTGTGCTAACTCTAAGAATCTGAGTTTCAATTCCAGTGTGTTTTGCTGGTTGGAAACTCTTTCCAAATGTACAGGTTCATGTAGTATACATTGTGAAACCATTACAAATAATGCAAGAGAGTATGTGCTGTTGAAACACTTGTTAAAAACACATTAACACTGTGTGTTGCGTTAACAGAACATGCACACTATTAAACTATAGTTTATTATTATAAACATTTTACTTTTGAAGTATTGTTTTATTCAGTAGTCTAAAAGAGAATGGTAGTATGGTCAGGGATGGACTTCACCTCTTTGATGCCCTAGGCTGGAGGTTGAATAAATGGAATTGTACTTGTTTGTTTGTTTGTTTTTAAATTGACATTTGCATTGTTACTATTGGGCATTTTATTATACATTTATTTCCAAAATTTTCAGTTCTTTCCATCATTTTAATGCAATAAATTTCATGTTTGTTTACCTATTACTTGTGAATTTGAGTATATAACTCATTCTATTTGTTTGAGAAAAGTATACAGGTATTTCATGTGGGAATTAATTTTAAGAGAATAAACAAAAATTCCCTGGAAATGGAAAGAACTGAAAATTTTGGAAATAAATGCCCAATTTAATGTATAATAAAATGGCATATATGTATGCCATGAATTTACATCATGAAATCTGTCAAAGTCTTTATCTTTGACACTTTGTGGTTTACGCTTAGTAGTTCTATTTTTAAATTAGTTTTATTTTTATTTGTTACCCTTCCTTGGTTTATTTGGCAAATAATTGATTGAAATCTTTATGTTTAAATAATTATTAGAATTATATTATTATTTAAAAATTAATAATATCTGATAGACATTTGTTTATATAATATAGAAAATACAAAAAATATGTTATTTATTGAACAAAAATCAAATGAGCATCTGAATCTATCTTTGGATCAGTACATTTGGTAATTATTTTGAATGAATTGAGTAAAATAAAAAAAAGAATTGTCTTTAGGATTTGCAAAAGACAAAGTTATTTACTATTCACTTTGACTAACTTAGGTACGATATAACGAGATAAAGGAATTTACTTAGCTTCACTATTATCACTTTCACCAAATTCAGTAGAAATTATTTACAATGTCTGGATTCATATTTAGACATTTCTTCTGTACACAGAAAAAACACAAATGTTCGCTTCAGTCTACCCGTTACTGATCTAGAAGGAAGTAATGGAATAATGTACTATTAGCTCCATGAGGTCACAAAGCCTGTTAACAAGTTTCTTGGAGGTAAAACTTCCAGGGTTCTGCAGTAGTAGCCAAGTGATGAGGGCAACATCATAATTTAACTTTCTTGAACTAAAGAGGGCATCAGTGCCCTCATATAGTAAGTGCAGGGCCCACAAGGGGAAGAGCAGGCTGCTGGCTACTTGCCCCAGGCTCCAACTTAATTGGAGCTCCAAACATTTTGTTTATGTATGGGGGAGGGGGTGGAACTTCTGTTTTAAATAAGGGGTCTTCGCAGATCTACCAGGCTTCTTTGTTTTTTCTGGATGCTCCTGAGTAAGGGAGTAGGCATGCCATGATGTTTGGCACTAAGAGATGATTTTGTTTCAGCTGTGATTTTCTGGTAGCTAATTACCAATTACATCACCAACAGAATTAAAAGGCAGCCCTATTGAAAAGAGCCCTAAATTAAATTAAGTTGTCTTTTAAGAGTTCGGATTCTGGAATAAACAATATCCCAGTCCAAATAAGCTCCAATTAGATGGCGTTCATTACTTTTTGTATCTGTGTAGCCAGTTCGTCCATGTGCTAAACGAATGTTGTCAAATGACAAAATATCTCCTGAAACGATCATGTTTAGTTTATTTGAATAATAGTTATTGATTGTAACCAAGTAAAAGTACACAGCAATTACTTACCAGGTTTTGTTTTGAATTGAACCATATTTTTAGGATCATACAGGGCTTGAGTGAAAGTTGCATGAGCTTTATACCAAGGTATCACATCCTCCAATGGAATTGAAAAATGTGAATATCTCTGTTGTTGGCTGTAATTCACTCGAGCAAATTGTCCCCATCTGTCTTCACTGTAAGAAATATTTTCCTTTCTGTAGGATATATCTTAAAATTATTTAGAACACCTTAAAATGTATCACATATGTAAATAAATGTTATAAATATCTTTGTTTATAGAATGAAGTGGTTTGTAAGAAATAATTATTGTGCTCCCTCATTTCAAATGTTGCATTTGCTATACTGAATGGTGATGAAAAATGTACCATACACACTTTCTAGTATTGTGTGTATGTTGCATTTGTTATTGTATGAAATTGCAACGCACCAGCCTAAAAATGATTATTTTGCTTCTAAAAAATGTTTCAGAAAATATGATATTGTATCTGTTTACTTAAAGATTTTTCAAATAAAATATGTTATGAAAAGTTCTGCTTAGCTCATACTAATACTATTCTTTATCAGGAATAATTATAATGTCATCAAATGATAGTAATAAGAGAATACTATAATTTTAATAGCGCCCTTTGTGATTGAAGCCTGTTCCCCATCCTCCAATATAAAAATTTATATAAGTACAATTATTACTTCAAAATATTTTTTTAAATTGTGGAGTAATATTTCACAACTATTTTTTTTATTCTAATTTTCATACTGTCTCTGCCAATGAATTTCTATTGGCTATTATACATTTCTTTTACCATATTGCTGGAGATCGGTAAAGACTAAAAAATTTCATCCCTCTCTCTTCACCAATATCTGACCACTCAACCAATGTAGTAGACAAAATTTTATAGACTTCTGGATGAAATTCCTTCAATATCTTGCTCACATGTAGACAGTCAGTCAGTAAATTATCTCCTCCCTCTCCTGTAGTTTGTACAAGGCAATGTAACAGATTTACCTGTGATACATATTTTTTTATTAGCTACAATTTATTGAATTATGAATACATTATTTAAGAATTGAATGTTAGCAATATAAACTCTTACTCCAGGTTTGTATTCATAGTAAGGAAGATCTGCATGCATTTGAAGAGGTGTAGAGAGATATGCTACATTTGTTGTATCTGGTTTATTGCGAACCTCAAATTCCTCTCTGTAACAAAAAAATGTACTGAATAGTTTTGATATGTAAAGTGAAGAAACAAGTTAGATAGGAGAAACATTGAATATATAAAAAAATAACAGACATTTCTATTTGTTCAATTCCAAGACAAATATTTGCCATTTCAACTTGAAAAATGGTACGTATATTTTTGAGAAATAACATACTTGAATGAAAACTCAATGAAAAAAATATCTGGGGGTAGAGATCACTCTTATTTAATATTACTGCTACAAAATAAATTTTTATTTAGGAAGTAAATTGTCTTTACAGAGCAGATGAAATAATAAGTAGGATGAATTAAATGAAAACAGGATTTTGTTTATTGAAATCCTTTAAAATCTTGAAAATGGAGGACAGAACAGAACATGAAAAAAGGCCAGAGAAGACTTTCTTATGAAGTTAAAAAAGTGAAAATGAAGTTTAGAGAACTAAAAAAAATACGGATTTTAAACGTGATCCTTTAGAAGTATATTGAAGGTGTTGGGTAGGTTAAAAAAATGCAAGAATTAAGGGTATATGAAAGTATCTGGGGAGTTTGATGATGTGGGACATAAAGATACCTATGAAAGTTTAGAAGGAAAGAAGATTTTTTGGTATGAAGACAATTATACAAAAGGAACAGTGGAGGGAATAAACAGCAGAGGAGGTATCGAGTGCACTACATCTAGAAAACAAGAAGAACATTACGGAAAATTCTTTGAAGGAGGAAAAAAAAAAGCTTCAATTAAAGAAAGCTGTTAAATGAGTTTCTAAAACAGATATAAGGATTTTGTTTTAATATAATTTGAAACAATATATTTGATTTATACTATAAACAGTTTTCCTTCCAGTATGTAATGCTGTCACCTAGGTAGTCAAAGTGAATGCCAACGCAGTGCTTTGAATCTTCTAGCACTGTATTGCACCGTAGAAAACTTTACACTCTTAAAAGTGTAAGTGTACTAAATAGACAAAGAAAAACAACTTTAACGTAATAAGGGTAATAAACTTGAGCTGATTAAAGTTCACTCTCCAAGCAGATAACTACAATGTTTAAAATTGTGTAACTATTTGAAGAATAATTTTACAATATATATCAGAGAAACCTCTCTGAAAGATCACCCCTCACAAGGATAAAAACCCGTATATTGTATGAAGAATATATCCCTGTTGACAGGCCACCCCTCTCCCCGACCACCCATCAACCCATTAATAGCGATTTTCTTAATTTACCCCCTTTAAGAGACCACTTTCAGAAAAATTGCAAGCATACAATTCAACAATTTTCATTAGTTGAAATGAAAATTTGTAGTATTATAAAAAAACATTCACATGACATGTCTTGTGCCTCAGCTTCATTCTCAAAGAAATTAGAGGGCAGAGAATCTAGGAATGATGTAACAATAAACCGTTGCCACTGATATGGTATCATGACTGCTCTTCCATTTCAGTTTCCCTCTCTTAATGAGACTGTGGGAATAAAAGTGACCTAATGTTTCATTCTTTGATGTAACAGTGCCTTCCTTACCTTCCCTTCCTAGGAAAATATCTGGTATAGTAGAATATCATTGTGGGAAGACAGGGTTATCGACTTGTCCCCTAACGCACAAGTCTTTGTGTTGCATCCGGAATTAGGCCAGCCAAAATCCATGGCTGGAAGTTTTTTTAATTGCGTGCATGTGTGTGTTTGGAAAAAAAAAAAAGAGATTGTTTGAAGAAGTGAAAGAAAAGTAAGGTTTTGCACTCCTAAGATATAGAATGTGTAATGCATACCCAAAAGACTAATTGAGTCTACACAAGAAAATGGATATTCATTACTAATAGACAACTATTGGGAGTACTAAAACTGAAAATAATTTAAATGTTTATTTTTACCCATCAGAAAGTGATATAAATATTTTTAAATGCATTTTAAAATATATAAAACCTCTTTAAAAACATAGAATATTAGGCACTTTCCTAAATATCCAACATCTAGTAGTAATAATAATAGTATTATTAGAGCAATTATCCCTCTAAAAGACTAATTTTCCATAGTACAGAGTGGTTGCTAAATAGATATTTCACTGTAATAAGATGAATGACACAATGTACAGGTAAAAATTATGCATTTTATATTTTTACTTTTAAAAGCCAATTGAAAACTTAAACATGGTCTGAAATTTCCATTATTTTTAGTGAGTAGTGAGGTCTCTTAAAACTACAGCAACAACAAATACTATGTCATGATCATATTCCTGACACAAAGCCAATTACTTGTCACTTACTCTACTTCAATTTCTGTTAGACAGGGATCAAAATATGAATCTGGGAATAATGAACAAATAATTGACTACATTTGATGTGCAAGTGTGAATGTTTGGCTGAGTACAGATGTCTTGTGAAAGTGCTGTCCATCAATCAATTAATTTATAACTGAAGAAGAAAAAATGAGTTATTAGGAGAAATAAAAGAAATTGCAAAAACTTCACAACCATGATTTTCCTCTCAAGAGTCATCAGTCACAAAGCAGTTACTGTTACATTTTAAATGTTTTACTTACCCATAATGTGTTCGTTTAATGAAGGAAACACGATTAGCTAATTTACGCAGCTGATCTTCTTGAATGGGTGTATTCTCCACTATCGCCACTCCATATTCTGCCAATGCTTTCAGCCATTCATACAAATATGAATCACTGTTAAAAGAAACATTTATTTAGTGACACAATCTTTATAGTTTTCCATATTAGCAATCTACTACATATGTTTTTCAAACCTCTGTATTACATCAGAATAATCAAATTTCTTCAAAACACTCGGAAAGTCAGCTGCAGACCAAGGAATTTTGGGAAGTCTGTAGACATCATTTAACCATTTTTCTTGTTTATCTTTGGTAAAACTTCTTTCATGTAGCCATTTTAGGGTAAACTCACTGCAGTGGCCATCAGACCATTGGATGCTCAAAATATTGTTATTGATCTAAACAACAGGATTAATTTTGTAGCTTTCATTTTCATTTTTAGCTTTCACCAATAGAGTAGATTCATAATTAAAATAATAAACTTACATGAAGTGATTTAGGATTAACAGTAATATCAAAAGTGCGCCAATCAATAGTCCGTGACTGTAATTTGGGATTAAAGCATGAAGAACATTGGCAGTTATCTCTTAGCCATATCCAAGGATATTTTAGTACATTTCCATCTGCACTTTGAACTTGAATTACTTCATCAATAGAACTTACTTTTGCTTTTATACCATTGTTATTCTGGAATATTAGTACCAAAACAAGCAACATTTATTCAATAGTGATAATTCAACACAAACAGAAGTAAAAATATATTTTTACTTTAAAATAAAAAGATACTCCCACCCCCAGTAAAGAAGTTATTTAATAAAAGTGAAAGAAGATTTTTTTAAACAATAGATTTACTGATTTTTTTAAAAGTGAATGATTGCATGGGTAGAATTAATGACAAGGAGAAATTTCGCATCCACATTGCAGGAAATGCGGATGTAACCATTCATGAAATTTTTATTAAGTTCCAAAATCTTTCAGGAGCTGGGGAGTCATAAACCAAAAATGTACACATTTCGCTTTTTCTTTATTTTAAAAGTTTCTACATATTTAAAGTTTTCTGAATAAAATGGTGTTTGTATCATCCATTTTTTCCTTAATCTGCCTATGTGAAAATAGCAATCATTCTTGTTATGAGTCTCTTTAATTTTATTTATCCCACTAAAAGATTGTGGCTTTGATGAAATGATAGAAGATTGTCATTCTTTATTCTTATTCTTATTGCTGCAGAGCAGAGCTTTATCTCTTATGACATTTACTCATCAAAAATGTTTTGTTTACTTGTTATGGTGACAAGTAGACTAGTTTCTAGAAGGAAACTACGAAGGAATATGATTTCTGAAAAATTACATCATTTTATACATTTTATAGGATGACAATATAGTAATAATGAATATTCTTCAGGTATTAAGCTTGTGCATGTCCCAGTTTTTCAGCCCATCTTCTTCTTGGATGCCTTAGATCTCTCTTGCCAGAGCCTTTTGACAATCTAGCATTTGTCATTCTTTCAACATGTTTGTGCCATTTGTCTCTGTTATTTTCGATCCAGAATGTTGAGGAGAATATATTTAATTCTTTCCTTATGTTTTCGCTCTTTTTCTTGTTGAGTCTTGAACATCTTTTTACTGACCTCAGAAAGGCCATTTCTGAGGCTTTTACTCTTGCCCAGTTCTTTCTATTTGCTCGAGACTGGTATCATAAAGGATGGGACTGCCATTACCTTGTAGAATGTAATTTGTGTCTCTTTTCTTTTTTCTTTTTTTTTCTGAGTTGTTTCTTGATAGTTCCATAAATTCTTTAAAATCTATTTAACTTATTACTAATATCTTCATTTTTATCGAATGATGTATTGCAACCTAGGTATTTATAGTGCCCAAGAGTGTTCTATGCAGAAGGACTTCATCATTGGCAAACATAATGGTAACATAACTAATTAACATAACTATTCTGCAGCTTGATCTCTAATGGAGTCTGTGTTTATAGTTTCTCATCTTATACATCTATCATTACTGAATTTTTCTCATACAGATTCATAATTATGTTTGTAGGGTAACTTGGGTATCTTCTGTTTCACATGATATTGCAGAGTTTATTTCTCTTTACCTTATCAAATGTCTTCACGTAGGTGAATGTAAAGACATTTGAATATTTAATAGCAAAGTGTCATTCTTATTTTTTGATTTCTGCATAAATGTATACAAAAAAATAATGTAATAATTTTCAATTTAACTTCAAATTTTCTGAAAATTATAAAAACTGTCCAAAAGATATAAATATGCTTTCTATTAATTAAATTAATTTCTCCAAGCTACTTTTAAAATTATACAGCACTGGGTATAATTGTTTTATAGATATGGGTCAAATGTACAGCCAAATTAATGTTGAAGAGTTATAGCATTACGACCCCCCTAAAATGGGCAGGACAAGAGGCTCAAGTTTTGTAATTCAAAAACTTTTCTGCAACTTATTATATTTCTGTAAGATAGAAACAAATAAGTGACAAAGTAAATTCTTAAAAGCTAATTTCATTAATTAATTGGTAAAAGTTAAAAAAAAAAATGAAAGACTTAATAGTCATCTCCACATACTGCTCTTTTCATAGGATAATTTTTCAATTATTCATGATAAAAAAGTATTGGGTATTGTGTTGTGATTGGATGGCAGTTATGATGAAATAATGCTGTTAAGCAGTTAAGATGAAGTAATAGTGCAAATTAGAATTTTGTTTCATTTTGTGTGTCAGTCACCAAAATAAGCCTTCAGTTAATTCTGATTCGACAATAAAAAATCTTCTTTAAAACTTACCTCATGTGAGTGAGGTTGTGGGATGTTACCATTGTGTAAACATTTTACTAACATTTTAGGTAAATTTGAAACATGGTTTTTCCTGTAAATTTGAGGTAATTTTCTTATTGTAGTATTTTTAGAAGCTAATGAAACAATCTGAATGAATATAGCATTCATCATCTCATTAACATTATAATCTGAAACCTATTGAAAACACTGTAAGTTGCACCATGCAATAAATTCAAAATAATATACAAAAAAGTCAGTTAAAATTTACTTTAAAATTATGTCTTTTGAATACACCAAAGAGACTTCAACTGGCCAAAAACACACCATACACCAAAGAGATATCTTATGGCCAAAAACATATCAACTAAGTAATAATTTATTAATTATTCATTAAGTATAAACAAAAATCTGAATTATAATTAATACAACCATGACTTTAAATTTACCAAAATAATGATATTACTCACCTAGAATAATAATTGAATGAAATGATAAACTGAATTGCAAATAAATGAACCTAAATTGCATTTGAAATGTTAAGTGGACAATAATGAAGCATTATTATCTTTCCATTACTTTAGCTTAATCTAGAAATTTCTAGTAAAATCACTAAATCTATCCAAAAAGAATCCTGGTTCACAGCAGCTTATTGTGACTTGTAACCTTGTAATCATCACATTCATAAATATGACTGACCTTAAGATAAATATAGTTGTCAAGAAGGGGGAGGCACAGTGACCTTTGATTCCATGTTTAAACCACCAAACTGATCTGAAGGTCATTATACCAGAACATGACTGGAGAAGAATTCAAAAGAAAAACATTTCAATTTAAAAAAAAACATTTATTTCATACACTTTCTAAATCAGAACAACTGTGTCTTAATGAGAATACTTTTTTAATGCAACTCAAAACAATCTATATACTGCAGATGAGGACAATAATGTATATCATTCAGCTCCTGGTAATTTCCTTTTTTAGTATACGAATACGCGAGTGGACAATATCCCAATCCAAATATGAACCAATAATGTATCGCTCATTATTTGCTGAATCAGAGTATCCACTTCGTCCATGAACAAGTCGTATATTATCAAAGGTAACAATTTCTCCTGAAAAAATATATTATTAATGAGGATTACTTTACCATGACTGTTCCACTATTACAAGAAACAATGACGCATTTTCTCACCGGGTCTGGTTTTCAGTTGTACCATATTCTTTTGGTCATAAAGGGCTTTTGTAAAAATTGCATTAGCCTTATACCAAGAGATGACGTCTTCCAATGGAACATTAAAATGTGAATCCCTTTGCCATTGATTGTAATTGACTCGAGCAAATTGACCCAATTTATCTTCACTGCAAATTATAAATAAGATAATATTATCTCAAGTGGTCACACTGGAAATAATAAACAATCACATATTATTATTATTTGGCTACCAAATAACAGGTGCTCGATAGAGAGTGTGAAATGCATCCTTTTTCTCTTCTCCAATATCTGACCAGTCCACAGGCACTGTTGATAATGTTTTGTAGATATCTGGTTGAGTTTCTTTCAACAACTGACTGAGATACAAGCAGTCTACAAATTGGTTCTCTCCACCTTCTGTTGTTTGCTCCATGCAGTGAAGCATATTTACCTGATTCAAATGTGGCACATTAAAAAATATAGGCACTTATTGCTAATGTAAATGAAAATTAGTATTACTTGAACTTGTAACTATATCTTACCCCTGGTTTGTAATCATAATATGGCATATCTGTATGCATTTGCAGGGGTACAGCAAGATATGCCAAATTAGTTGTATCAGGCTTATTTCGTACCACAAATTCTTCGCTTCAAGAAAAAAAGTTGATTATTAGAAAAGATATTTGAATAAATGGCATATTTGGCTGAATAAAATGAACATTTATAGTCTTAACTTGTACTATTGAATAAAAGGGCTCATTTTACTTTGAAATACAAATGAGTCTAATGAGGAAATATTTATACCTCCTAAGAAGAACTTCTGGCCATATGAACTCACATTCATGTTTGTGATCATAGATGTACCCAAGATTTTCCTCAGCAGGAGAGGAGAGAGAGAATTAAAAATAATAATAATAATAATAATAATAATAATAATAATAATAATAATAATAATAATAATAATAATAATAATAACAACAACAACAACAACAACCATATCAATAACACTAACAATAATAAAATAAATGTAAATATTTTAAATGATAAAAAAAATTTTTACATAAAAGTTAACTTGCTTTATGATCAAAATTATCAGTAATATGAAATAAGTGTTATTTTAAATTAACGAATCTAAATATGAAGTACAAATATAAATAATTAGTTATAATATAATTCTCAATAAATTTCGAGATGTTTAAATAGTGTCAGATTCGTAAAATATGATTGATGATATAAGTTAAGGAAGTATGATTCATGAAAGTTTGTTAATGAAAAAAATTGTAAACAAATTTTATTACCTCTAAACTTTTTAATGTGAAAAGTCAGTGAAATTATGTTCTGGATTGATAAAGTATAAATCTGCATCACAAGGGTACAAAGTATCCAAAACTCAAAAGTGGGTAAGTAAATCACACAAAAAAATCTAATAGTGGTAGGAGCATGCATTTTGTTAGCAATACAAAAATAATAAAACCTCCAGTTTGTTTATTAATACAAATACGTTTTCTATAACTCGGGAATGAAAATGTCTCGTTTTCAAAAAATGCTAACTTCTAAGCTAACTAACTAAGCTTTTATTTGAGACTATTATTCAATATTCAACCATTTATAGTTAAAATGTTGGGAAGAGATTCTGTAGCTCAAGAAATGTGTGCAGATGGCATTAAAGCCCTGAAGAAGACAGTGATATGTTGGTCGAAATGTCGGTACCTTAGTCTTCGACATGGCGTCACCCAGACAGCCTAGATTAGATGGCACTTAACCCCCACACCTCACATACAGTTTTTACTATTTTTTTGATGAAATAAATCAAATAACATACCCATAATGAGTTTGTTTGATAAATCCAACCCGATTAGCTAACTTCTGTAGTTGGTCCTCTCTGCTAGGTGTGCCTTCTATAATTGCAATCCCAAATACTGCTAGGCTCTCAAGCCACTGCAACAATTTTTCATCACTGAAAAGAAAGATTGTTTTCATTTTTGCATTCCTCAAAATATAATTTCATAGTGATTATTGTATTCACCTTTCTATGAGGTTGCTGTACTGAAATCTTTTAAGAACTTGTGAAAAATTTGCAGCATTCCAAGGAACTTGGGTTAATCGATAAACTTGTGTCAACCATTTCTTTTGAGTAGCAGGTACAAACTCTCTCTCTTGTAACCATTTCAGTGAATATTGACTTTCATGCTCATCAGACCATGTTATATTCACCAAATCTTTGCTTCTCTAAACATTAAAGTGCTTTAAAAATAAAATGAAGTGAAAATATTACTTTGCTGCTCAGAACATAAAATTCAAAACTTACAGAGTATGATTTTGGATGGACAGAAGTATCAAAATATTTCCAATCAATAGTACGAGATTGCATTTGTGGGTTGAAACATGTTTTGCATTGGCAATTATCACGTAGCCACAACCATGGATATTTCATATAATTGCCATTTTCATTTATTACATGTATCATTTCATTTTCAGAGAATACTTTTTCTTCATTCTGTATTTTAGATATCTGAAATTAGAAATTGTTGGCATTACATCATAATTAGCATTGTATTGAACCATTTTGTCACCACTTCACTTTTCTGTGCACTAACATAACATTGCGGTGTGGCACTAAAACTCTTCGTCTGATAGACTTGAGATGTCAGAAGTGCTCTTTTAACTCTTGTAGGTGCAAGTTTTAATTGTTGAACAATTTGAATGATTCCAACACCAGCAGCTCTCATTTTATTAACTCTGAAAATCTAGAGAATATAATATATCTTACAAACACATTTAGTTAGATAGCTATTCTTTTAGCATTAATTATATTGAAACATCACTTTGTAATTAATATATTTGTTAACAAACTTTTTTAATGATCAAAATTTTGTCATGGAGATTGGCTTGTCCTGTACCATGAGATAGTCTGAAATATTTGGTAACACATCAGATTCTCTTTGACCTTTGACATCACTTTCTCATTTTGATAATGGGTATATCTACTTGAGTCCTAAACAAGAATAGTACTTTACAAAAATGTATATTATAGGATCCTATTGTTGCTCATGTTTGGCATGGCTTGAGATTTAATGTGTTTGGTACTGAAATCTGAAAATGGTGTTTGTAATCCTGCATCTGAAAATGGTCTCATTATATACAACATATCATTTGTACCATTCATCTATTATGTAAATCAAATTATTTTGCATGTAAACATGCTGAGAAAAAAAATCATTAAATGAAAAAAAAAAAGGAAGCCATTTCTTTTCATATACATTTTACTTCCAGAGTAATAATTATTCTAAAATGTAATTTATTTTTCAATTAATTTATATTTTCCTTCGTGTTTGGAATGGCATTCCATTGCCAGGATTAACCAGCAACATTTTTTATTGTTATTTCCAATCGTTAACAGATTGTTTCCATTTGTCATTTTGGAATTTATACCGCTTCCTATACAGTACACACCATACAAAGATCAAAGCTAAAAAAGTCTACATTTTTTTAGAAAGCGTGATAATTTATTCACTCCAGTTAATTATTCAATGCCAAAATAGGCCCTAAACTTGTCCTGCAATAAATATTTTCTGCAACTTGTGTGTCTGTTGTTTCGAGTAGTGCCAACGCATTGACAACGAGCTTCCGTTGTTTACGTCTGTAATTTTCACGTCGAACTCGGCCCCCCTCCGATTCAGGTCGCCAACGTCGGCAACTTGCTGTCTCCGTGTCCCGTCTCTTGCCGTCGCCGGGAAGGAGGCGTGGACAGGACAGCTGCTGAGTTTCTAGTAACACTAAACGTGTGAGAAGAAGAGTGTTTAACCTTGTAATCGGATAAAACTTAACGTGTTCGTTTAATAGTGCTAAAAATGGCTATCAAAGGAAGAAAATCATCTAGTAAAAATCCACCAATTTTAAGTCATGAATTTGTCATTCAGAATCATGCCGATATTGTGTCGTGCATTGCTATGGTTTTTGTTATTGGACTTATGATTCAAGTGAGTTATGTTTTTGTATATGTACTGCATATATTGTAAATATGTCAAATGAGCAGCAAACTTTTAATGAGAGATGATAGTTTTTTATTTGTTATTTTTCACCTATCCAGCTGTTACGTTTTGTACAGGTTTCTTTTAAAAACACCCAAGTGAGAAAGAGAAAAAATATTAAATTACATTCAATGTTATTAGGAAACGTATTCAAAAAAAATATATATATGAAATTATGTTTTCATACTTTCCCATTCTATTTCAGGTTGGGACAGCCCAACATAATTGTCTTATGACTAGAGTAATTTTTTATTGTTTCTTTTAGGTCACATCTCCTTTTGCATATATGTTTATCGCTGTACATCATAATGTGACAAAGGAACCAGAAGCTACACTACCAGAAAATGCAGATGTCACCTATTACACATATGGATGGAAAGACATTTGTGCAGTTTTCTTTTACTACTTGATATGCATTGTAATGCATGCCATTATCCAAGAATATGTTCTTGATGTAAGTTGGCTAGCTTTGTGCTATAAAATACATCTATTCTTGGAAGTTGAATACCATGAGAGGTCATTTTCAAATTTTTTTGGAGTGAAGTCAAAAATCTTTCAGTTGGTATGTTAGAACCGCAAATAAAAATAATTTGCATAAAGATTTAAATATTCCATAAATATTATAATAAAACTGTTCAGAAAGCTTTATTTTATATAAAGCTATGACAGTATTGTTGCATAGAATTTCTGCTAAGTCTTTTAATACAAATGATACGGGGAGAGATAATGAAGATTGATGAGTTCTTCAGAAAACACAACTAATCCGCAGAACACTGCCAGGACCATATGTCTTACCTTGCCTTTCCCCATTTTCCATAGTGATTATTGTACAATCGTTTCTTATGTAATAACATTTAACATATCATTGAATGTGCAATTGTTCTTGACTTCATTCAAAAAAATTCTTGACTTCATTCAGCTTTCAGACTACATAGTTTTTTAGCCTAATTATTACCCTACACAGTCTTCTTTTCTTGGTGAGCACCATATGTCTCATTTCATTTTACTTTACTTTTTCAATTATTAAATTATTTCATGATGCCTACTGTTTTGTACCCTCACTTTTTCTAATATTTGTAATTGTTGGAAAATTTTTGTTGGGTTTAATATATATTTCAAGTAATGAAATATTTCAATGAACAGGTAACGCAAGAAGATAATTTCAAATTAGAAAACCAGTAACTTCAAAAGAGCCTAACGAAACTCTAGAGAATACAGTGGTTGGAAGTAAGTTTTTTGTTGTAATTCGACCAATGGCAAATCTTGTAAAAGCTTTGCTTGTTCAGTTTTCTACTAAAGAGAATACTGCACGAGGCGTTTAAAAACTTACATTTAATATGTTTTGACTTCATTAACATGAAGAACGATATATGTTT